TTGTTGTATGTTCCACAGAAGAAATAAAGTCATACAGGTTTGGAACAACAGTTGAACAAGTAAGTTTTAGTGCTAAATTGTTCCTGAAAGCGACTGGATTGGTCCTTGTTGCGATTGGCGTTTACAGTTTGCAAGCACTAAATATTAAAATATAACAATGAAAGTAGGTTGTTAAATACCAACCAACTAATGTTGTTGTCAAATCCCAATAAATTACCATTTTTATTAGTTTAATGGTTTAAAAATGGTGGTGCCAAGAGTGGAACAGGATCATTCCATTTTTTACCCTTTTTGGAGAATTGGCGCATCAACAGAAACATTAATCCTCCAAATAAAAGTAGACCAGCTGAAGAAACAGCTCCCACAGTTGCATACATCAGCATGCCGGCACTCACTGACATCTCCTTTACTAAAACACATAATAGGTCTCGCATGAATAGTGATTTTTATTTTGTGATTTTATTAGATCAAGCCAACATCAATTCTTGTATTTTTAATCTTCTGTTGGGCTTGCATGTGACCACCCATAAAGCCAGACCATTGGGGCTGTCCTTCTGGAATGTACCCATGTTACAGTTTGGTGTACTGTAGGGGTTGAGGATAATGTCAGGTGAAAATGTAAGGCATGCTGCAAAGATAGGAAGCCCTTCATACTGTGCCTCTTTGCCCCAGCAATGAACCCTATTTCTGTCTGTACCAGGTTCACATTTCTTACTCTGAAATCAGACCTCCAGATGTAAGAGGCACAAGTCACTGGGCAGGAACAATTTAACTGTCTGTTCCTGTCATGTGGACCTGTCAGGAGAGGTTGCAGAGCAGAGATGAAATGAACAATTTGTTTTCATGAGCAAATGTTCGTGTTACGGTTATTCTAATAACTGGAGGTGCAGGTATTTATTCTAAAATAATGTAATAAATAGAAATATTCTCGTAGAACTAGTACTTATTCAGAAATGTTTTCATTTACATTCGCGGAAACCTGCAGTAAAATACGCTACTAATGGCATCGCCGCTTCTTGATTCAGCGACTATGCAGTATATAGTCCGACTCCCGAACGAATTCCTCGAATGAACGAATGGTGAGTCAAAACACACCGCGCCACCAGTGCAGTCCGACTCCGAACATTATCGACAATATTTCGCCAGTCACATCAGGTGTTTCCTTCAGCTGTTCAGAATTGTAACTAATCCGAATAGAGTCACAACAAGAATCACTCTTTTGATCAAATCGGTCAAACGGTCTATTCAAAGGTTCTGAAATTGTTAGCGATTCCTTTGATTTGATCCATTCGGACAATACACTCACACACTGAATCGTATCACATCGAAATACTAGTGGATACTTCCGCTCTTTTTTGCGCATACAGCTTGTGAAAGATTCTGTACTGCCGGTAAAGACAATCTATACATGCATATCAGTAACGTATCACAATATGGTAACACTTTTTGATGGGGGTGCTCCAGTAAAAGGCTAGAAACACCCATGACTCTCATGATCTGGTTTCTGTAAATCACAGTGGCCACTGAAAAAAACCTGACTCACATATAGTAACACAGCAGTTAGACCTAATAGTGTATAAAACTTTTGATGCAATCCGTGCACATTTAATAAAAATAAATGAATGAATATTAAAGGAATGACTGTATCGGTTTACGGATGTGTGAACGCGTCAATGTATTCCGCACTGGCACGCGCATCTCCGTCTCTCATGCATTTATTGGCGCTAGACTGGCCTTTGGCAAACCAAGCAGCCAAAGCAAACGAAAAATAATCAAACGGCTATCATACGGTCACAGCGGGTAGCAATAGCCTCGTTATTATTACGATAGCAGCCAGGAGGCATCCAGTCAGCTGATCAGTTATTTATTACGCATTTCGTGCCAGGATGGGCTGCAGACCCGCTCCCTCTTAAGCGATATAATTGGCGTCACGCTGCGTTAATGCCAGGACAGATGCGACTGGTTAGGCACCCGTGCATCTCTCTCCTTCTGTGCTGAAATGCTGAAGAGCTGAAGAGCTCCTACTGACCAGCAGCAGAAATAAACAGAAGGTCCCTGTTATGCATTACATCTGCACATTCCTTTCAAATATTTCTTAATGTATGTGTGACCCTGGACCATAAAACCCGTCATAAGTAGCATGAGTAGCTATATTTTTTTGTAGCAATAGCCAACAATGCATTGTATGGGTCAAAAATAGGCTATCGATTTCTCTTTTATGCCAAAAATCATTAGGATATTAAGTAAAGATCATTTTCCATTAAGATATTTTGTAAATGCCCTAAATATATCAAAACTTTTTGTAACATGCATTGCTAAGAACTTGATTTGGATAACTTTAAAGGCAATTTTCTCAATATTTAGATTTTTTTTTTTTTGCACCCTCAGATTCCAGATTTTCAAATAGTTGTATCTCAGCCAAATATTAATACTTACATTAATGGAAAGCTTATTTATTCAGCTTTCAGGTGATGTATAAATCTAAATGTCAAAAAAATGTACGCTTATGATCCATATATGGTCCAGGGTCACATATTGGCTAAATAAGCTCACAATTTAACAAAAAGCATAGGCTATTACAAATAGCTCATAAAAATTATTTACATGTAAATGTTAAAAAACCGTTAGACATGTTTTGGCACTTATAGTAGAGACCGTGGCTATAGAAAATGCTCATTACCTTCTGATTCCAAAGCCTCTTACAGAAGGAACAAGGTGAAGGGGCAACTAAAGGCCAGAGTCTGGACTTTGGGCCTGGGTGACAGTGGGCACAGTGCCCAGAGGCAGCACATTCTGGCCTGGGTGTCTGTTCTGGAGCAGCACATCTAGGGCGATGCTATATGAAACAGTGGGTGAAACAGAGTGTTTCTGGCAGTGTTCACACTGTCTCTCTCACACCTGATGGTGTCACAAAGATAGGAATGACCCTACTGATATTACATTATTAGTATATGACAATGCTGGAAACTATAAATGTATATTTATAATGTGCAAATAAATGCATACTAGCCTATTGACATGGATATTTCAACACACAGTTCAGTTCAAATCTTCATTTATTGCAAGCACAAAACAAGATGGAAAATATCAGTTACTTTACTTAAACTTGTATTTTAATTGAATTCAAATGTTGGGTTCAAATTCTCTTCCCATGAAGAGTCAGTCAGACTGTAATTAGCTGCAGTGCAGAAGAATAACTTTTTGTTAGAACTAACAGTTAAAGTTGAAAATTTATGTTGTTCCAAATCTGTATGAATTTGTATTTTGAGAAATGTTGGTAAACATTTTGGTTACCATTGACTTATATTGTATGAACAAAAAGAACAATAAGACGCATCTTGTTGTATGTTCCACAGAAGAAATAAAGTCATACAGGTTTGGAACAACAGTTGAACAAGTAAGTTTTAGTGCTAAATTGTTCCTGAAAGCGACTGGATTGGTCCTTGTTGCGATTGGCGTTTACAGTTTGCAAGCACTAAATATTAAAATATAACAATGAAAGTAGGTTGTTAAATACCAACCAACTAATGTTGTTGTCAAATCCCAATAAATTACCATTTTTATTAGTTTAATGGTTTAAAAATGGTGGTGCCAAGAGTGGAACAGGATCATTCCATTTTTTACCCTTTTTGGAGAATTGGCGCATCAACAGAAACATTAATCCTCCAAATAAAAGTAGACCAGCTGAAGAAACAGCTCCCACAGTTGCATACATCAGCATGCCGGCACTCACTGACATCTCCTTTACTAAAACACATAATAGATGTTGTCACAAAGTTTTGGTGGCCTTCCATTTTAAGTGCAATTAAAATTCAGTATGTGCAATATTAAAGTGCAGTATTTTTCCACTGAACTGATGCACAAATAATGATGGATTAGAAAGAGCTGGCAAGTTTGCAAGAGCGCAAAAATGGCAAGGACAGCCCTTACAATTCTAGATATAGGGGAAAAAATGCCCCTGAATGAGCTTTTGTCTTATAAAGTTAATACATGAGTCAGGAATGAGTTCAAATTTGGAAATTATTTTATACAACAGTTAAACGAATAAGAAATTAATATTATTATTTTATTATTATTATATTATATTTTGAGTATCATTTCAGTTTAAAAAAATAGTTGCTTTTGAGGAACATAGGAAGATATTTTGAAGAATGCTGGTAACCAAACTGTTTTAGTTTGTAAATATATTAAAACTGCCTTTTTACTCGCTGATCAGTCTAGGTCACGCAAGCACTAAACTGCGCTGTGAGATCCAGTGTGAAGAGCTTGAATTCAGAATAAAAAATAAAAAAAATCAGAATGTTTTTATTTTCTTTTTTAATCTGTGTTTTGCTCTGTTTAACAATTCTGAATGGATCCGTTTATATTTATATACAGTCAGGTTAAGGCGACAGCTGTAGTAGTCTGTTGGCATCTCCGTGTGGTCCTGTTTGCTATCGCAGCTTGACTTGTATATGTATAGAAAATGCACTAAACTAATGTAACATTTATTTTTTCCTCACAGTTTTTGCTGTTGCACTGTATACATAAATTGTGAATTATGAAATTAATTATTAATTAAAATTAAATATTAATCTAAATATTTAGTTTTAATTTATCTTGCAGAAAATATAGTTTTGTGGGAATCATCCTCAGACTTTAACTTAGTAAAACAAGTATCTTTATTTAAAATGTTTCAAGTTTTAATACTTTTCCTTTTGTTGTACTGTGATAAATCATACCGGGATGTATGCTAAAATTGTTGGCTGTGGCTCCCTACCTAGAAATGTTTAGCCGCCACAGGCTGCCATAAAAGGAAAAGCAACACAAGGATGTTTAGAAATACAATAGTTTATGATTTTTAATGTCACACATTCTACAGCTCACAGTGTTTTTGTTGTACAGCAACAATAAACAACATATAGCATTTCTGAGCAAAAGATGACAAAAAAGATTATTGACTATTTCATATTTGCACAAGCAAAGCTAGAATGAAAAAGAATGAACAGAAGAAGATTTGAGGCTTTATGCTGGACAGAGAGGGCCCTCTAGTGGTGTGTGTTCTGCTTCATATGCTGGATTCACCGTTTCTTGTTGAGTTCTGCAAGAAAACATGGAGGAGTAAGATTTCTGTGAACTGTCCAAATTTAATTAAAAAATTAACATAATTTACCTTAATCTCACTGTATTTTTACCTACAACAAAATAACAATATACATATATATTATATGCATAATACAACATATATTTCTCTTTGCAATGAATTGTTTGAAATTTGATAGACTCTTTAAAACTTCACAGTATACTCACTCCTACTGCAGTTGGAGCAACAAAATAAACAGCCACAAAACACTGAGATGACAACAGATGCCAAAAGAGCAAACAGAAAATAGACATAACCTGAGGAAAGATATAACAAATCTATAAATAATTCATTTTATGCCAAAATGTTTGCATTTAAAATCAGAAAATTGCTATGTTGTTTTTTCTAAAATGCTTTATGAATATTTTTAAGATTCAAATTTTGTCCTTTCCCTCCCTTTTCTTTTCCCTTACATTTCTCCCATTTAAAAAAGTAATAACTGAATTTATTTATTTTTAATTTAACCATGGGGTTCAAACATGATTTGCAACAATGTTCCTCAAAGCTTCAATAATTTGAATGTAACAGAGTTGGTTTTGAAAGACATTTGTGTGTGCGTGTGGAAATGATTCAGAGCTAAATCAGTTATTTATTCAGATTATAAATTAATTAATTTGTTAAATAAATAACAGCATACTCTGTTGGAGTTAAAATAGTGGCTTAGTGGTAGCAAAAATAAATATATAGGTATTGTTCCCTGAATATTTCTAATACATGGTATCTAAAAATATTTACTAAAATATTTTTAAATTAATTCCTCAAAAAAAAAAAATTAAACACCCTTATTATTTCCTGCTATTATCACATGATGCTCTCATTGTACTCTATACAGTGGGGCAAAAAAGTATTTAGTCAGCCACCAATTGTGCAAGTTCTCCCACTTAAAAAGATGAGAGGCCTGTAATTTTCATCATAGGTATACCTCACTTTTTTCCCCACTGTATCTGTGGCACACAACTAAAAAGAGCAAACTCCTCACTTGCACAAATGAGTGGAAATGAAGACTTCCTTGTGCCATCAGCTCTGCAGGTGAACTCAGCAAAACCCATCTGCAAATATCCAGGTGGACACTGTACTCTACAGGCAGATCTAATGCCGTCACGTCCTTCACTACAGTTCATTAATCCACCACCAAAAAAAAGAATGGGAAAACACTCCGCTACAACAGAAAAATTACAGCTTAATCTTCCATGCATATATTTAAATTTTGTTGTAAACAGAATCATAACTTTGGTTCATTTACATTTGTTTGTCTGTTGAAATAATGTTTGCTCTGACCTGTTTCACTCTTTGGCTCAGAGAAACCTTGTTTACACACACGGGTGAAGTTGTTGACTTGTTCTTTGCAGTCCTCTGGACATTGTACTGAAAGAAAATGCATGGACTTACAAAATCATCATTTCTGTACTGTACTATATGCATATATTTACATAAAATAAATTTTGATGTAAACACAGATTCATAACTTTGAAATACCTTTTGCAGCTGCACATGAAGGTGGTGGTGAGTTCCATGCACCTGAGGAATTGCATTTGAGCTCAGCTGTACCATTCAGTTTATAACCACCAGCACAAGAAAATGTACAGTTTGAGTTGAAGGAATGATTCCCAAATAGACCGGAGCAATTCATCCTGCCATGTAGTGGTGCAGAGAGTGGATCACATGAAACGACTGGAGAGAAAAAAAAATTACTGCATGATCTAGGAATATTTCAGAGTAGTTCACCCAATAATGAAAATTTGCTGACATTTTACTCATCCTTAGAACATAAGATGTAGATGAGTTTGTTTCTTCATCAGAGGATTGGAGAAATGTATGTTTTTATCAGGTAATTGAATTCTCTTTCTGACTGCACCCATTCACTGCAGAAGATCCATTGGTGAGCAAGTGATGTACTGTAATGCTAAATTTCTCCAAAACTGTTCCGATGAAGAAACAACTCATCTACATCGTGGATAGCCTGTTGGTGAGTACATTTTCAGCAAATTTTCATTTTTTTGGGTGAAATATATAAGGTTATCATAAAATTATACATGCAGGATTATATATCATTTTGTCAATTCAACATTGTTTTTTCCCTGCATCAGAACAGACCCTGGGTCGTGAGCCACCAGCTGAAAACCACCAATAAATTATAATATGTTTCACTTCCTCAGCAGATTTTTCACTTCACAATTCTTATATTTCACTTCCTCAGAAGATATATATATATATATATATTACACTTTGCATTTATTTATCTGTTGAAATAATGTTTGTTCTGACCTGTTTCACACTTTGGCCCAGAGAAACCTGGTTTACACACACAGGTAAAGCTGCTGACTTGCTCTTTGCAGTCCTCTCTATCAGTGCATGTATCATTTGGACAGTGTGCTGAAAGAAAATACCTCGATCAATTAAAAAAAATTCTTTCTGGACTATAAAACACTCAGATTTTCTCTCTCAGAAACGTCTCTATTAGACTCTATTATATATTTTTCAAAATACATAAAAATATGTGCTCCAACCGGAAATGAATCAACTAATTGAACAAGTAAGGCACCTTTCATCTCCAACTCCTTACCTTTTTGGCATAAAGGATACTTTGCCAATTGACAGTTGTCATCGTTCCACTTTCCATTATTGTTTGTTTTGCTGGTGTACAATTCCACACAGTTTTCATTAGACTTGTTGTTGTTGGGCTCATTGGTTGCCCAGTTTTGATATTTCATGATTTGTCCATTGGCAACCCACATCCAAGTGCCATTGATCTTTTGCATTCCAATCCAGTAGTAGGGAGATGTTCTGTTTTTCACATTTTCTTTAAGGAAACGTGTTACATTTTCATTGTGGACCATCACAATGTCTGTGTAATGATTTTGACACCACTTTCTTGTCTCATTCCAGGACATTGTCTTGTTGTCTGTCCAGTAATACGTCCATCCTTCAACACTGACTAAAATATTGTCCATCAAAAGTTCAAGTTAAATTTATTTCTCACATTTATTTTATTCTGGAAGGAAGATGAATGTAGAATTCACTTACCCAATATGAAGCAGAGATGTATCAAAACTCTTATGTGCACAGATGTCGTTTTAAGCACCACAACACCTCCAGCCTGAACAATAAAAACAGCCACTTAATTGCTAGTATAAATGGATAGTACATTTAAAGGCTTGTATTGAACCAAAAAGGTTCAAATGAAATGCAAATTTCATAATAAATGCATACCATGGTTCTCTTTAGTCTCCTTTCGACAGAGGCACTTGTCGTTAGTAGAATATTGTACATCGCAGCTCTAGTTGCATTTCAACAGTCCGTTCTCAAATATGCTCTGATAACTGTGGGCAAAGTGGGTTTTTCCACCATATATATAGTCATTAGCATTAAATTGCAGGATGTTTTCTCACCGGTTCAAAAGAATAAACATTATGTAACAACCTGGGAAAGAATGCCACTTTTTGGAAATTGCTTATCTTTTCTATGGTCTTTTATCTTTTCGTAAAATTCTGTCTTGCACAAATAGAATGGTGCTGAGTTGCATATAATGATTACAGGATCACTTTAACCTCTGAAAGGTATTTCTGTAAAAGCTAACATACACTCCCTGATTATACGCAGCTTCAGGGAATGACAGTCACAGGATACGTCCAGATGAACATGACCTGGGTCATTTAAACAAAACCTTTCACTGCATTCACAATGCTAATGGCTGTATGCACTTAAAGGTGATGAAAGATAAACGAAGAGAACAGAGACTTCAATCCCAGGCTTAATTTTGGTGTTAAAATTCAAATATACAGCTGATCATCCTACAAATAGAACGATCAATCACACTTACTATTTATTTTTTATACATTGGTGTTGAAAAATTATACATTTATGCTTTGGGAGATTTAGGCATTCAGCTAAAAGTGGGAAATGCATTGAAACACCCATGACATCATGAAAGTCAAACTTTGTTTACATTTACAAATAGATTAAAGGCATAGTTCTCCCAAAAATGAACATTTCCAGACATTCATTTTCATTTACTCATCCCCAGGCATTTCAATATGTAGATGTCTTTCTTTCTTCAGCCTAAAAGAAATGTCAAGAGATGCTGGTTAACTTATATGTTCTTTTATCTTGTCAAATCATCACTTGCACAAAGAGAATGGTGCTGAGATGCGTATATTGATTAGATGATTATGATTGAATGATTAGAAGACTAAACTCATCACAAAAAATAAATAAAATAATTAAATGTGGGTAATTTATGGCAAGGATCATTCAGAAGACCTTGACCTCTGAAAGGCATTTCTGAAAAAGCAAACTCTCTAAAATATAAAACAAACACTTGATGATTATATACAGCTTGAAGGAAAGTCCGTCACAGGATATGTCCAGATGAACATGACCTGGGCTTGGTTATTTGAACAAAACCTTTCACTGCAATAACTGTACTTACAGTGTACAGTGACCTCAATTCTAGCCTTTATTTAGGTGTTAAGATTCAATTATACTGCTGATCATTCAGATGGAATGATCAATCACATAAATGTGTATTCATGTTTTGATTTTGAAAAATGCTTTTTCGTAAAGAAAAAAAAATTGTTTTTTCGTAAAGTTGTAGAGAGTCACACTTCACACTTTATTGATTTACATGTACAAATAGTTTAATAGGACAAATACAGTTTTGGAACAATAAATAGTACAAAAAGATGTGTATATTAATAGCATAAAAACAAGTACATTTATACAGTACAGAACAATATGTTCAGTCAAGTAAATCATAAAAGCTTCCATTGGGAAGTAAAAATCACATTCAGTTAGGACTGTTGCCTTAAATCAATTGTGATGACATAAATGTTTATGTCCAGTGAGGCAGTTGTGAGTCCCGTGAAGAAGAATTGAGTTTTTCAATGAATTGTTCACTGGAATATGTTACATCGCTATCTTTACACATACTGGCCTGTATATGTGCATGAGGAATATATGCTCACCGGATATGCTGTATGCTATTTGATGCTATTTTGCTCTATATGAGACTGTCAACACTGTTCTTATAAAACTGTGGTGGATCCTCAATATCCAAGGTACTAAAAATGAAACAGACAAAAGCAGATATAGTCCTGTATGTACCAAAAGTGATAAATAATGACAGTAATGATACAAGAACAATATAACTGCAAAAAAAGAGACATATCTCACCTGTTCAGGTCAAAATTGTTAGCTGGAAACAAAAAGACATAATTTTCAGTATATTATTAAAGAATTAGAACATGTTCACAAACTCAGTAGACTGTTTGACTCACATTTTCTCCTCAGTCTCTTCAGTATCCAGAGGACTAAGCCCAGACCGGAGACACTGATAGCGCCTGAAACACCAAGAGTCACTTCTGTTGCTTTGAAGAGCGATGCAAGAGCTGAAAATACAAATAAAATGAAATAAGCCATAGAACAGGGGTGGCAAACGTTGGTCCTGGAGAGCCGCAGCCCTGCAGAGTTTTGCTTCAACCCTAATCAAAGATAATCAAGGTCTGAACAGTTACTAGGAAGCTACAGGCAGGTGAGTTTTAATTAGGGTTGGAGCTGAACTCTGCAGGGCTGCGGTTCTCCAGGACCGGAGTTCGCCACCCCTACACTAGAATGTCTTTCTCACTTCATCAACCAAATGGCTTATCTGCATCCCAGTCATTATCAGCTGTTTACCTTGACACACCGCCACTTCCCCTGACCAGCTCCCATTGTAGTTGCACATCACTATCTCGTTACTGTGGTCTTCAAGTTGGTGGCCTTCATAACAGCTGAAGATGCAGAAGGTGCCAAAGGTGGGTTCTTCAGATGAGCAGTTCATATGCCCATTGATCGGCTCAGAAAGCTGTGGGCAGAGCACTGCTACAGAATTGAAAAAGTGTTTAGTATGATAAAACTCACTTAGGCTAACTTATTTTTTTAAATACAATGAACTAACCTGCAAATTCATAAATTAGGAAAACGTTTATTGATTACCTTCACAGCGAGGTGGTTCCTGACTCCACTTTGCTGCTTTTGTACAGCTGATTTCTGAAGCTCCCTGGAGGTGGAATCCTTCAGCACAACTGAAGCTGCATTTGCTCCCATATTTAAAGCTGGAAGTGCAGCTCAGCTCTCCATTGACATGACTGTCAATGGCTGGGCAGTGAATAACTGTGAGGAAAGGGGGAAATTTATTAAAGGATCAGACAGTTTTCATGAGAGTTTTTTTCAAAGGAGCGATTGCAAAATATTCATCAGACGTCTTTTTGTTTGCATAATATAAATGCTACTCACGTTCACAGGTTGGTGGTTTGCTTGACCACTCTGTGGTAGAAGTGCATCGTGTCGTACTGGAACCCTTTAGTTCATAACCTTCTTCACAGGAGTATTCACACTGAGAGTCATATGAGTAATTTTCATAAGGATGAGAGCAGTGGATAATAGCATGATCTGGTGAGGTGACATCCTCTGGTTTGCATTTTATTACTGAAAATCAGAAAAAATAATCATCATAAAACTCCAAGAGCAGAGATGTTAAAGAGCAAAGAGCAGAACTACTGCTGAACTATTGTAATAAAGGTTTTTCTAAGTAAATTTAAACTCGTCTTACTTTCACAAGTGGGTTGTGAATGATTCCAGCGTCCCGTTGCCCCACAGAACAGTGTAGAGGAGCTGGAGTCTTGCAGCATGTATCCTTCTTCACATATAAACTCACAGGCAGATTGATAGCTGAACCGGCCGATAGGATGTTGGCAGTGCATTTTGCCATCCTGTGGACTGATCAGCTCTTGACATTGAACAACTGCAAAAAGATTCATAGACATGTCAAAGGAAAGTGTAAATAATTTAAGCAGGTTTGAACAGCATCTTTAAATGTTCCTCGGTGTAAGTTCAACTCACGTTCACAGGTTGGTGGTTTGCTTGACCACTCTGTGGTAGAAGTGCATCTTGTCGTACTGGAACCCTTTAGTTCATAACCTTCTTCACAGGAATATTCACACTGAGAGTCATATGAGTAATTTTCATAAGGATGAGAGCAGTGGATAATAGCATGATCTGGTGAGGTGACATCCTCTGGTTTGCATTTTATTACTGAAAATCAGAAAAAATAATCATCATTAAACTCCAAGAGCAGAGATGTTAAAGAGCAAAGAGCAGAACTACTGCTGAACTATTGTAATAAAGGTTTTTCTAAGTAAATTTAAACCCGTCTTACTTTCACAAGTGGGTTGTGAATGATTCCAGCGTCCCGTTGCCCCACAGAACAGTGTAGAGGAGCTGGAGTCTCGCAACGTGTATCCTTCTTCACACATAAACTCACAGGTGGATTGATAGCTGAAGATGTCCATTGAAGGGAGACACTGCATTTGGCCCTTCTGTGGTTTGATCAGCTCTGGACATTGAACAACTGCAAAAAGATGTCAAAGTGTTTTAAAAAGCATCTGATCAAATGTGTCATTTTTATTTTACAGTGTAAATTCTACTCACGTTCACAGGTTGGTGGTTTGCTTGACCACTCTGTGGTAGAAGTGCATCTTGTCGTACTGGAACCTTTTAGTTCATAACCTTCTTCACAAGAGTATTCACACTGAGAGTCATATGAGAAATTTTCATGAGAGCAGTGGACACTAGCATGATCTGGTGAGGTGACGTCCTTTGGTTTGCATTTTATAACTGAAAATCAGAAAAAGAGAATCATCATTAAACTCCAAAAGCAGAGATACTGTATTGTATAACTATTGTAATAAAAAAATGTTCTAAGTAAATTTAAACCTGTCTTACTTTCACAAGTGGGTTGTGAATGATTCCAGCGTCCCGTTGCCCCACAGAACAGTGTAGAGGAGCTGGAGGCTTGCAGCATGTATCCTTCTTCACATATAAACTCACAGGCGGATTGATAGCTGAACCGGCCGATAGGATGTTGGCAGTGCATTTTGCCATCCTGTGGACTGATCAGCTCTTGACATTGAACAACTGCAAAAAGATTCATAGACATGTCAAAGGAACGTGTAAATAATTTAAGCAGGTTTGAACAGCGTCTGTAAATGTTCCTCAGTGTAAATTCAACTCACGTTCACAGGTTGGTGGTTCGCTTGACCACTCTGTGGTAGAAGTGCATCTTGTCGTACTGGAACCCTTTAGTTCATAACCTTCTTCACAGGAGTATTCACACTGAGAGTCATATGAGAAATTTCCATAAGGATGAGAGCAGTGGACACTAGCATGATCTGGTGAGGTGACGTCCTCTGGGGTGCATTTTATAACTGAAAATCAGAAAAAATAATCATCATTAAACTCAAAGAGTAGAGATGTTAAAGAGCAAAGAACAGAACTACTACTGAACTATTGTAATAGATGTTTTACGTTAATTTAGGCCCTTCTTACTTTCACAAGTGGGTTGTGAATCATTCCAGCGCCCCGTTGCCCCACAGAACAGTGTAGAGGAGCTGGAGTCTCGCAGAGTGTATCCTTCTTCACACATAAACTCACAGGTGGATTGATAGCTGAAGATGCCTATTGGATGCTGACACTGCATTTGGCCCTTCTGTGGTTCAGTCAGCTCTGGACATTGAACAACTGCAAAAAAGTCAAAGTGTTTTTAAAAGCATCTGATCAAATTAGTCATTTTTATTTTACAATGCAAATTCAACTCACGTTCACAGGTTGGTGGTTTGCTTGACCACTCTGTGGTAGAAGTGCATCTTGTCGTACTGGAACCTTTTAGTTCATAACCTTCTTCACAGGAGTATTCACACTGAGAGTCATATGAGAAATTTTCATGAGAGCAGTGAACACTAGCATGATCTGGTGAGGTGACGTCCTCTGGTTTGCATTTTATAACTGAAAATCAGAAAAAGAGAATCATCATTAAACTCCAAAAGCAGAGATATTGTATAACTATTGTAATAAAAAAAAATTCTAAGTAAATTTAAACCCGTCTTACTTTCACAAGTGGGTTGTGAATGATTCCAGCGTCCCGTTGCCCCACAGAACAGTGTAGAGGAGCTGGAGTCTTGCAGCATGTATCCTTCTTCACATATAAACTCACAGGCGGATTGATAGCTGAACCGGCCGATAGGATGTTGGCAGTGCATTTTGCCATCCTGTGGACTGATCAGCTCTTGACATTGAACAACTGCAAAAAGATTCATAGACATGTCAAAGGAAAGTGTAAATAATTTAAGCAGGTTTGAACAGCGTCTGTAAATGTTCCTCAGTGTAAATTCAACTCACGTTCACAGGTTGGTGGTTTGTTTGACCACTCTGTGGTAGAAGTGCATCTTGTCATACTGGAACCCTTTAGTTCATAACCTTCTTCACAGGAGTATTCACACTGAGAGTCATATGAGAAATTTCCATAAGGATGAGAGCAGTGGACACTAGCACGATCTGGTGAGGTGACATCCTCTGGTTTGCATTTTACAACTGAAAATCAGAAAACAGGTAACATGGTTACATTTCACACGTTTAATTTTTAACATAGATATATTACCAGTATCTAGAGAAATATTACCCACCATTTTCACATCGCTCTCCATAGAAACCCCCAAAGCATGAGCATTTATGGCTGTTTATGGTTTCGACACACTCTCCTTGACCACTGACACAGGAGTTGTCTTTGCAGGATGCTGAGAAAGAAAAAATTAATAATTACTTATATTATATTACATTACAATAATGAATGTGTTTATTCAATGAATACAGCAGAATGACCTTTCTTTCATTTTAATTGAAAAATGCATAGGTTGGAAGACCTTACAACCCATTGCCAGGGGGTCCGCAAAATAATATTAGGGCCATATGATTTCCACAATAGGGAAAATGTGGTCATAAAATGGAATTGACTTTGTAATGTGGAATGTTACGGAATTTGGCAAAACATGGATGAATAAATCAAAAGCAGCATAATTTTAACAGTAAAGCTCTGTTATGCACCACTTTGTTTGACAAAAAATTAAGCAATAGTTAAATAAGTTATAAAATAAAAGTTGATAAATTGTTGTTACATTAAAGTTTTATTATTCAGTTAATGAAATCTCATCAAATCAAATATGCTTTTAGATTATGACAGTTTAATTTACCCATTAAAGAAAAATCCAGAAAAATTAAAACAGAAAAAAAATGTCATCTAAGTGGTTAATTGTAGTATGCATATGCTTAATCACTGTTATAATTATAAGGCGATCCTTGGAATTTTTTTTCTCCCCTTTATGGGGTCCCTAGCCCCCCAAAGTTTGTGAACTCCTGCCTTGAAAAACTTTAGAATTGCATAAAGACTACCTACCCGTGTAGCAGAGTGCAGTCTTCTCCTTCAAGCAGGATTCATCATTCCATTTGCCTTCATCTTTCCCTCTTTTAATGTATATTTCCACACAGTCTTCATTATTCCTTCCATTATTGGGCTCCTTATCTGCCCAGTTCTCAGCTTCCTTGGTAAGTGTCTTATTAGTTCCCACCCAGGTCCAACTGCCATTAATTTTACGAATGCCAATCCAGTAATATCCGCTGACTTTTGGAAGGATACTGTTGAGGTGATAAATCTCTTCTTTGTTCTGGATGGCTACCATGTCTGTGTAATGCTGCCTGCACCAGTGTCTGGCAGATTCCCAGTTCATAGTGTACGTTGAGGAATTGTATGACCAGCCTTCAGTGCCTCTCCATAAGTTTAACACTGCAGAATTAAACCATTGCAACTTTGAGTAAACTATGTTTAGAGGTTGTATATACTCAGTTGAGTTTTTACACTAGTACGGTTTGCTTTCTTACCTGAAGAAATAAGAACAAGGGAAGCCAAAAATTGCAATGATACTTTGTTGAAGATACCCTGCAAAATTAAAGAATTATATCAACTGTATGAACATAATAGTTATTGATACTAAAATTATAGAAATGCATAATTTAAATGCTTTACGTACCATTGTCAGCTGTACAGCTATGAAATGGTCCTCTTAATAGTCGTCTCTGCACTTCTCTACTAATATGATGGTTCTGATTTGAGAATCTGGTCTGGTAATCTCTCTCTGTTGGGGTATTTATAAAGGAGCTCATGCAGCTATGGTTCAGAACTTCCTTTCCCGGATCCACTTGTGACATCAGCCAGCAAAAGCAATGGAATTCTAATTTGTGGAAATACCCCTCTCTAACTCAAGGAGGAAACACTTTCTCTTTTTTACACTCTCGAGGCGTTAGTTTGCTAGGAAGTGACCTCTCAGGAAATACTGTAGAGCTTTTAGTGCTGATATGGCCATAGCAGGAGGAATGCATATTTTCTCAGTATATTCAGAAATAGAAATAACACTTTCAGGATGATTTTTTTTTTTAATTGTATAAAATGTATTTATTTATTTTTTGTGTGTATACAATTACAACTTTCACTTTTTGGTGTGAAAAAGTAATCAACAGGGAGATCTGATGGCAGAGACACTCACATTTCCTGAATATTTTCAGCTCTGTTTGTAAAGGAAAAAATTATATAATGGGTCGAGAGGGGAATCACTAGGAATTGTTGCCAGTAATATTCCATTGGTGCCTTTACTGTTTCTTCCCAGTTACTTGGAAATACAATTAATGGTGACTTTTTCTACTCTGTGTTGCAACTGACATGGAAAATATACCATAACATTTTAAGACAATGAATTAATTTGACAAACTGATCATGCAAAAGTAAGCATAACAATAATAATAACACTTATTACAAGGAACACCCATACGAATATTTACAATTCAGTTTAAGTAAAAATCAAAAGTAAGACAGGAATCATTGTACGTGAAAGTGAGACATATTTGTTTAGTAATTAAACCTATCTGGCCTGTTTCAAATTTCCTTTGTTTAAAAGCTGTTATTGTACTTAAGATCCCCAGAGGTTTCTCGTTTTGAAGTTTGAGTTTTTGCAGCTTTATTTCTGTGTGACTTGACCCTTTTTGGATGCCACTCTGTTTAATGTGTTTGAAATATAATATGTACTGTATATAATGTGTATTTAATGTGTATAGAAATAGCTGCCATGAGGGCACCGGAAAATTACTAGTAAGCAAAGAAGAGAAAAGAATAATAATAAATGTGTGTCAAAATAATTTGTGAGAGTTAACTTATCTAATTGATAAAAAACTCATTCAAACATATCCATTTAAAAACAAATCTGATATAAACATCTCCAATGAAGGATGATTGTTTCTATTCTTTTTATTCACCTGAATGATCAGAGTGGATGAATTTATTTACAATGATATAGTTATCACATCTTAGACTGGGCTAGAAGCAGAATGAATGAATTAAAATTGTACATGTGGAAATGATGATGATGCAAATAACATTGAAAAAATATTAGAAAAAAAAAGTCTGACTTTCTGTTTCAAAAGTACAGCTTGCTAGGAAAAGCTGCACAATTAAAAATTGTGTTATTCTACACGTGATATTTATTGTTTTATTTGGGCAAATGTATCTGATAGAAATGATGTCACAGCTAAGGGACAGTTGCAAATAAAAAACATTTTCACAATAAATACTTGAAAGGTTAATGATTGTGCTTTGGATTATCACAGTTTTTAAAATGTAGGTTAATAAACATTTTTATGATGATATTAGGCTTATGATAGATTCAGTTCAGTTCTCAGTGTATGACTGAAAGTCTGGGTCATGGTTTAAGCAATAAAATCTCTACATAAAAGGCAATGGAAAAGTAGCAGTAATTGTTAAATTGATAACATCAAAACTTAAATAAACTTCATATAACAATAACAAGGCGTACAAAACAAACAATCAGACATTTTTGGTGTTGGTGAAAATGCACAACGTCCTGGATGATCCTCTTTCATTAATCTTTTATGGCATTCATTTGGGATTTTTTATTTATTCATTTTATTCTAGATGAACAACATGGAAAAATTTCCTAAAACAAGAAGCACAGGAATTAGGCCTATTTTGATTAGATACAGTAGCTATGCTGATGTGGGCGGGAGGGAAAGTCGGCATGTCTGTAGAAAGGAAGAGGTTGTGAGAGGGAGATAACAGGCACAATGTCACACTGACAAGCTCATTTTAATTTTTTCAAGCTTGACTTAAACTGTATGAAGAACCAGACAACAACAATAATAAAAAAAAAATGTCTGAATTTATATTTTGTACTAATTAATTTACTCCATTGATAGATTCTGCCCCTTTCTTCAAAAACGTTTTTTTTTTATTTAAGTTTCTACCAATATTAATCCATTAATTCACTCATTAGTTCTAATTTACATTTATCTTCGTCTTATTTGTATTACGTATTTCCGGTTTGGAGTCTGTTGATATAGCATACTGGCGCGCGTGATGACTGTATAAGGTTCGTCTGAGTGTTGCCTGCAGCTGCCACAGCGAAGATGGCAGACGCTCTGAGCAAAGTGCCCGATGTCGACATTGATCCGGAAGGAAAGTTTAAATACATATTAGTGAACATAAAGGTTAAAGGTGGAACGGAACAAAAAGTGATAGTGAGGGGAACTAAAACTGCGGAGTACCACAGTAAGTGTGCACGCTTGCGACTGTCTGTTTCTGCAAGCCAGCGAGTTAACGGTATCCTCAGCCAGCTCACCGAGCTCAGCAGTATTTATAAATCAACTGGTAACATCCATTGAATAATAAAAAAAAAATGTCTGAATTTATATTTTGTACTAATTAATTTACTCCATTGATAGATTCTGCCCCTTTCTTCAAAAACGTTTTTTTTTTATTTAAGTTTCTACCAATATTAATCCATTAATTCACTCATTCGTTCTAATTTACATTTATCTTCATCTTATTTGTATTACGTATTTCCGGTTTGGAGTCTGTTGATATAGCATACTGGCGCGCGTGATGACTGTATAAGGTTCGTCTGAGTGTTGCCTGCAGCTGCCACAGCGAAGATGGCAGACGCTCTGAGCAAAGTGCCCGATGTCGACATTGATCCGGAAGGAAAGTTTAAATACATATTAGTGAACATAAAGGTTAAAGGTGGAACGGAACAAAAAGTGATAGTGAGGGGAACTAAAACTGCGGAGTACCACAGTAAGTGTGCACGCTTGCGACTGTCTGTTTCTGCAAGCCAGCGAGTTAACGGTATCCTCAGCCAGCTCACCGAGCTCAGCAGTATTTATAAATCAACTGGTAACATCCATTGAACATTCTGTTCATCACTGTTTATGGGCATTGAGGGAAACATCTAGTAACGTGTCAATATAAAAAACGTCAGTATAAATGATTGACCGGTATCATTGAATTAATTTTGAGGCTTGATTGACATGCTAAGTTTTGAAGAAGATATAGTACTAGCCGCTGTAGGAATGTGTTTTGTTGGTGTGTTCAACTGTTGTCAGTCTCACCAGATTGAAACTTACAGCAGATCTCAGAATAAACATGATCACTTCTGGAATGGTTCATTACATCACTCAATTTTTTTATTTAGATCACATATTTGAAAAAGTGAATCCTGCTATGGAGGCTTTGGGACTGGAGTGTAGTTGTCTTGGTGGTGGCAAGATTGAGCACAACAACACAGAAAAGAAACTTCGGGTGTTTGGAGAGTCTACGGTAACACCCTTAACCATTAAAACAACCACTTAATATTGTGACATGAAGTTACAGCAGGGGTTACGTGGGCACCTGCAACAACTATAGTATCATAGAGGCACACAAGGTAGAAGTAGGCCTACTATTCAGATATTTATCTTTCTTTATTTCAAATAAATGTCATACGAGATCAGATCACATCTCATAATTATAAGGAGACCCTTTAATATGCTTAAAATAGACCGGATATGTAAAGTGAAGAAACCGCAGTGCATTAAAACAAGGGTGGGCCTTTCATATCTTTCATACAAATGTTAATTGTTAAGAGATGTTCTTGGTGTTTTGAGTCAAAGCCTGCTTTTAAAGAGATTATCTCACATTTCTTTTCTTTTTCTAGGGATATGGGAAGGCTGACCATGCTCTCACAGTGGAAAAGCTCAAATCTGTCTTCAAAGACTATGAAATCACTATGGAATAAAAGTCTAAATTGATCACTCTAAATTCAAGGGCATGAACATTTTGTGAAAGTATACAATTTGATAACACTTCAGCTGTACCTCATTTTCATTTGGATAAAAGTAAATAAATGTTCACTCACTGGTCTGTCAGCAGTGTCAAAGTTGAGGTTAGATCACTGACCTTGATAGCGAGGCCTAACCTGCACAGGAACTCTGCATGTGTTTTGCAGAGTGATAAACATATCCAGTCTCCTGTCTCCATCACGGAATGTGTCTGTGTAGAGATCAGGGACAGATAAAAGAGTGTCTGTATGATTCATCATATGTCTAATTTGCTACTGGAATTCATTGAGAAATTTGGCATTGAGATACAAGCATTCAGTGTTTGGATTCATATTTGGTGAGAAAACATTTTACTGACTCAATCGCTCGGTTTTAATCATTACAATTAAATTGTAAAGGCCCATTATTGTGTGAAGTCTTACATTTGTATAGTTATAGTGTGATTTTCAGTAGAACCCTTAATGGATCTTATTTTATAGATGGCATGTGTTTTGAACATAAGTGATTTTCCCATCCTGTTTCTTAAGTTGAAACCTTTACCAGTTTCCTCTAGCCTACCCTGAGACCCTGAATATGACCCTCATTGTCTATTACCATTAAGAGGTTAAACGAGAGAGCTTGCACAGCAAGACTATTTTTACACTAAATAGTGTATTCATTGTTCAATTAAAGTTTTCCTAAAAGGTGCCAGTGCAAAGTGTTTTGTTTTTTTTTAGCAGAGGCCTTCTCAAAAAGGAAAAAAAGGTTTGATTTAATTTTACAGTGTCAATGCCACAGCTTTATTCATTTAAATTCAAGGTATTATTTTTTTATTTAGAACAAAACTTATGTATTAAGGCTGAACAATGTAAAGTGCTGTGACTAATTGCGATTTATTTTCCCTGTGAAATTCCCATCTTCCTGTGACATGTTTGGAGTCTATTTGAACATAATGGGGCTGTATTTGGAATTTCCTGTAGATGTTATCGCCATCATAGTCTTCTGTTAATAGGCTTTTGTTTCCCTTAACATGTGGCTGGCGCATGTGTTTGCACTTACCGTCAAGGATGTTAAAAGAAAAATCTGAAAGTGTCACTTTGAAGTAGAGAGGTGTGGCATATAGTTAAACACAATGTTGGTAGCCACTATATGATCTCCAGACAGTATTCTGGTAATTTGATCAGTTTAGGCATGTGCAGCCCCTGTTCCTGCACTCACTTACAGGAACCACTGGATTATTTTCATTCATCTAAAGTTAGTCAATCAGTCTTCATTACAGATAAATATATGATTATGAGGAAGTTGAATATGTGCATTCAAAGTAACTTTTTGTGGTGGAGACCAGAGCACATCAGACATTAACAATGTAAGAAATATTCATGATATCTCTATCCCCAAGATAACTATCAAAAACTTAGGTCAAAAACTGTATATCTTAAAATAAAAGCAACAGAAGCACTAAAATGTTTCCTTTGTTTTTTAATTTACATTTGTTACACTTTGTTTTCGGGGTGTAATGAGTGAACTTCAGTGCAGCTGAGGCATTGATTCTGTGATTAGGATGGTCCACAGAGCAATTAAGCTTGTTTGGGGGTGGGCGGGGATAGTATTCATGACACTATAAAATAGTGCTACAACACCTTACTGCAGTGTGGCTGTGTGGTAAGATGATGGCTGTGGTAATGGGGCTTAGGCAGTGTGTGCGTGGGCTTTTAGTGCTGTTGCAGTTGATCATGTGTAAAGTGCCAGACCAACGCCCAGAGCGTTTCATCCCCGGGTGCTGACGGAAGAACCTCAAAGGGTTGATTCTCTGCTTGGGGAGCAGTGGGATCCAATCCAAGGTCCTTATTAATTTTGATCTCCGAGGCCCCAGCTGGCCCCACTTACTACAGATCTGGCACCTTCAAGTATTCAGTCCAAACAAGAATTGCTGGGCCCTGTCAGGGAGTTGACCTGGAAGTTCCCAGAAGAGCCAGTACAGCTGGATTTTAAAGGGGTCATATGATGCTTTTTTTTAAAGATCATTATTTTGTGTATTTGGTGTAACAGAATATGTTGACATGCTTTAATGTTCAAAAAACGCATTATTTTTCAAATGCTGTACATTATTGCAGGTCCTCTCTGCCCCGCCTTTCTCAAACGCTTCGTTTTCTACAAAGTCCTTCCTTCCGACAAGCGCAGTCTGCTCTGATTGGCCAGCTGACCCAGTGCATTGTGATTGGCCGAACACCGCAAGCACTCGTCTGAAATGTAACGCCCCTTACCATAATCGCGAGCTTCATCTTTCAAAAGAAATGTAAAGACAGTCGCGTGACAGACACGGTGATGAAGCCTCTCTCTCTCGCGCACGCACACGATGCGCAAAACTCCACATTTGAACAGTCAATAGCAAATACTTAAACTAATAACAAAACAGTAGCTGATTGAGAAGCTCCAGATTGTCATAGCAAAGTCAGAATTACCTCATCCTAGGTTCACGAAACGGTCGTCCATAAAATGCATTGCTGTTCTGTTGTAAGTGATCTTAAAGATTCCTAAATGCATCTACTTTCTGGAAGGCCAAATAAACTGCTATTGCGTTCGCCTAGAAACACACAGCGTCTCCCTGACATGGCTGCTTCAACACTAACTGCGGTTACTGAAACCACGCCTTCTTTCTTTGTGTGCACATTTGGGTGGCATTATGCAAATATTTCCACATAGTGAGGTAGATATGTGGGGGCGTGTTAGAATGAGCCGTTTTAGGGGGGCGTGGCAGAGTCTTAACTTTGATAAAGAATATCTCTTTAGTTATGAGACTTTAGTCTTTGCAACTTCAGGGATCTTATCTATGCACAATCAGCTTGTAACACTCCAAAGAGAAAGGAAAACTTGAAATCGCATCATATGACCCCTTTAACTTGGAGTTGCAGCAGCCTCAACCTTCCGACAGTATAGCTGTCCAGTGTTGAGAAAATGGGGTGCATGTGGAAGTGAAGCAGGACTTCTTTAGTACTGGCCAGCTGCTTGAGCCCTCTCTTCTATCTCTAGGGGGCTGCGGTGTAGTGAATTCGGATGCAGCTGCCAGAGTTCTGATCTTTCAGCTTTTGGTGTGTCTTCTGGCTTTTTAACAAAGTTGTGAATGTGCTCATTGCCGAAGTCCTGCCTATTCAGCAGCTTCTAATTTCCTTCTCTCTTGCAGGTGACTGACAATGAGCTTGTCTATCTTTACCCTTGACTATAGACCAGCAGAATTACAAAGCACTTCAATTGTAAGGTCCAGTGGAGCTACAGTTGGTATTGAATGCCACTACCCCAGGTCAAATGTTTTCTTTTAATTCAATTACTAGTGCAACTTTACGATTCGTCTTTTGGACATTAAGTATTTCGTTACAGGAGACGCAATGCACGGTGGCCGAGAAGTGCAAAGCAAATCACAATTCTGAAAACAAAAGAACAAATTACAAACGCAAATGCAAGTCTAAAAAACAAAATAACAATTCACAAAGCACAACAACAATTCAGAAAACATTATAACAAGTCAGAAAACACAACGACAAATCAGACAAACCGGAAAAGGTAGGCATTTCAACTTTTGCCAGAAAGTTGCAAAATTGCCCAGAGTAAGGGCAATTCATACAATACATTTAAACTGAGCTACTTTAATACCATATCCAAACTATCTACCAGGACTCTGCTGTTCTTCGGCTGGTTCTTCCCTGTATACGTTGATTGACCGATGTCTCGTCCAGTCAGCGGTGAGTAATCCCAAACCAATGGCGCTGTCTCAAACTATACCTATCTTTTCTGGTTTGTCTGATTTGTCGTTGTTTTCTGACTTCTATTGTTTTCGAATTTGTCATTGTGTTTTCTGACTTGTTATAATGTTTTCTGAATTGTTGTTGTGCTTTCTGAATTGTTATTTTGTTTTTTAGACTTTGTAATTTGTTGTGGTGTTTTCAGAATTGTGATTTGCTTTCACTTCTCGGCCACCGTAGCAGTGGGAGCAGTAATGAACGGCAGCCAGCTTGGATCCCATATGTGTCCACCAAGGTTGCAGAAGACACTCTTGTCTTCTCCCTGAAGATCATGACTGGTTTGTATTTCCTCCTTTTATATTAGTAATACTTTCATCAGTATGGAGTTGCACTTAAAATTTTTTTTTTATTTTTAATTTTTTCACCTCCAAGATGACTGAATGTTTGAAAGGCCTTCAAATGTTTTCTTCCTGGGCGAGGTCTTAAATATTCTGGCATCTGTGAAACAGTACAACCATGTTCCCCTTCGTATATTTGTGGACCACTGTGTTGCCACTACAGGCTCTAATGTGAACTCTGCTCCCATGTATTAATTTATTGAGAATAATGGGTAAGAACATCTATGGAGTTCTCGTACAAGTGTGGAAATCAAGGTTCTCATGAAACCACTTTTGTTTCAGTTGGTTCACTGATGCAAATTATACTGGCTCTATGTCCAACTTTCTGCCCAGAGTGCAAGATGACAAACTCCAGTTTCAGTTGGCGGCTTTTAGGTTCCACAAAGAAAACAGTGGTGCTGTATGTATTTGTGCAGTGTTTTTCAAGTGCTTTTGAAGTTTGTTGCATATAATAAGTGGCCTGTCTTTGCAGATTTACAGGTACATCTCAAAAAATTAGAATATCATGAAAAAGGTCAATATTTTGTCACTAATTTCAGAAAGTGAAACCCATATATTATATGACGCATATATTACACAGTGAAATATTTCAAGACTTTATTTCTTGAAATTGTTGATTATGGCTTACAGATAATGAAAACCCAAAATTCAGTGTCTCAGAAAATTAGAAATTACATAAGATCAATAAAAAAAGGATATTTTAAACAAATTTCAGGCTTCTGAAAAGTATGTTCATTTCTATGCACTCAATAGTTGGTTGGGCCTCCTTTTGCATGAATTACTACATCAATGTGGCGTGGCATGGAGGCAATCAGCCTGTGGCACTGCTCCGGTGTAATGGAAGCCCAGGTTGCTTTGATAGCGGCCGACAGGTCATCTGCATTGTTGGGTCTGGGGGTCAAGATCTTCCTCTTGACAATACCTCATAGATTCTCTATGGGGTTCAGGTCAGGCGAGTTTGCAGGCCAATCAAGCACAGTAACACCATGGTCATTGAACCAGCTTTTGGTACATTTGGCAGTGTGGGCAGGTGCCAAGTCCTGCTGGAAAATTAAATCAGCATCTCCATAAAGCTTGTCAGCAGAAGGAAGCATGAAGTGCTCTCAAATTTACTGGTAGATGGCTGCGTCGACTGTGGACTTCAGAAAACGGCGCGAAGTTGACTTGGGAGCGATACCAATTTCACTTTTATAGGGGGATTCGTAAACGCTGTACTGTTATTGGCGTACTCGTAAAACGAATACAAATGTAATGAGAATTTTTATATTGTGTGGCGTTAAATAGGAACACATATTGCTTAGGACAGTCAATCAACAGGATTTGATTTCTTAAAGAAACCCCATGCAGTGCTGACGAATGAAATCGCCCAGAAGAATGTGGAGATCTCAAACAAGATCAAAATATGTAACGTATACAGGATCTCATTATTGTCCATAATTATCACAATAACGCGTTTATTAATCGCTATTGTTTCCCTCTGAGTGAGTCGGTAAGTTCTAAATAGATAACAGTTTTGAAAAATGTGTGTGAAGCTAAAGTTAGTTGAGTTAGCTTCAGATTGAATGAATAAAAAAACTGTTCCCTTTTACTACGAAAAC